AAATATTGCATTCTTTCCTAAGTATTTTTTTAGATGTACTGTGTTTGGGGAATATTTGAAAACTTAAAGCATGATTTAAATTTTTAAGTGAGCTGTGACACTGGAAAGCTCTTTATTTTAGCTTTTAAAATATTTTTTTCCTATTTATATATGTAAAATTGTAGTGTATTTCATTTCACTCAACAGTGTGTGGGATGTTCTTAATCACTGTTTTAGGATCACCTCAGGAAATGTCATTACCCAAAATTCCCCACTTTCTGCTATGAGACTTGTTAACTCTATCAGTATACTTCTGCTTGGTGCCATCTTGTCAGAGTAATATTTGATGTCTGTGATATGTAAAGAATTATCCTAGGATAGTGATAATAAACTTTAAGCACAGATTTCAGATGTTACTGCTTTAAAACAAATCAGGGATGAGTTGAACCTGTAACTTAAAATATGCAATGACATTTAGAGGTAACCAATGTTGATATAGGTAACATAGCCTAGCCTCCTCTAAAATTGTTTTCACTATTAACTGATATTAACTTAGGATAGCTCATGCCTTATCCTTGCTAACAAAATGGAATTAATGGTAGGTAGGTGCCAAAGTAATTTTTAAATCAATATTACATTAGGATATAATTGGATTTGTGCTCAAATTTACATGGGCCAAAACTAAAACAATTTCCTGAATTTCTAGATTACTAACCAACAAATAGCCAGTATTATGTTACATACTATTGTCAGGTCATCTAAAAATCCATAGGTTGATTTTTATAAAAGAATTTTTTACAAGTCACTATCAGGATCTCACTGTGAATGTGTTATCTTAATGGTTATTTTACCACACAGTACACTACATTTTACACATACCATGCACTTAATCTCTGGGAATAATATTGTTGTTTATAAACAACACATAGGTTGACTAGACTCTAAGCAGGGGAGGAAAGAAGAGTAACAGCATCTGGTTTGTGTGCCACATACCATACAGCTAGAGAAATGTTTGTGCTCTTGGTCACATATGTACCCAGGGTTTTATTGTATTCCTAAGAATTCCCATTTCAATGATGAGTTCAGTTTTTTATTTCACAAAGTATTTTCCTTCTCAATTTCTTGCTTTGGTTTTGCTTCCATTATAAAACTAATCAAGAAGGGAAAACATTGAGAATGCATATAAGAAAATTGTTGATCTCCTGATGACAAATTTCTACCAGCTGCAAACATTTAACCTTTTTCAAAGAAAAAAATAAACAAGGGATATTGTAATGAATGTTTGGGTTATGTGAGTACTAGAGATAAATTTTATAAAACCAGTTAATCACAATATAAAATGTTTTCTCTTCATGTTAGGAACAATTTTTAGAAATCCTGGATATTGTGCTTAACTCTAGCTAAACAGTTTGAAACTTGTATCCATTTGAGAACTATATTAATAGAAAACCTTTTTATAAGCAGTAAAATAAGAATGTTCCAGTGACTACCTGTCCTGATATCTAGTCTTGTTAAAACTTTCTTTTGCAGGGCATTTGGTGTTTGGTTTACAGTTAGTACAAAGTGGGCAAGTTAAGAGTAAGTTTCAGCTAGGGATAATGGAAAAAGATCAAAGAATGAGAAAAATGGTGATTTGTTTTGGGGCAAACTAAGACCCCCATTAACTTTTCCCTCATTTGTATGGTGCTCCTCATGATTTGTCTTGTGTTTTGCCTTTCTGATACCTATCAGAGCTGCTGCTCTAACTTACACTCTTTATCTTGCCCAGATCTCCTTTTAAGGAACGCTTTATGATCAACTGCCATAGGACTGATGGATTAACCAGTGTTTGGCTTTATTTGAAGTCTATGCCCTGCGCAGCTCTTGTATGTATTTTAGATGCTAGGAAGTTTTCAGCATGTGATACGTGATTCTTGTTTGAATGTTTATTCCAGGTACCTTGTGAATTCCAGAACAGAGACTGTGCCTCACAATTGTTGGTCCCATGAACTTACACTTTCATGGTGATGTTTTGAAAACACAATCAGGAAGGAAAAAAATTCTTAAAATTTAAAAATAGAATCCTGTATCATGAAATTAAAAACTGAATCCCTTCTGTCCCCTCTCCTCAGTTAACAGCTACATCACGTAAATGAAGGTGGTTGGGAAAAACCCTTGGCCAGATGATAGTTTAGTGGAATAAAGTGAATATTTTTTTTCCTAAGAGCATCATAGGTATTTTCCAGTTTCTTCTTTCTTACTTTTTTTGAAAAATTACTTTTTAAGAATATTTGGTATACTGTGCATAAAATTATTTACCAATTTATGGGCAAAATGATACAAGTAGCATCTTGATTGAACATCATTTACCTCAGATATTCAACCAGCAGTACGTTTTTTATGCAGTCTCAACCCATATCCTATTTGTTACCTCTCAAAATATTGGTAAGCAATTACTTTAGCTTTACTCTGTATTTCCTGTCAGTGTTTTTGGGCACAGGTTGTTGTACTACTGTCAAATTGTACTTGCTATTTTTTTCTGCAAGTATTTAACAGAAAGCTTAAAAAAAAAAAAAAAAAAAGAAACCCCACCTTGGATAAGTGATTGTTAAATATTGTACAAATAAAATGTATGCTATCCCCATTCCATCCCCAAGTTAAATAAAAAATGAATATGGTATGATTTGCATATGCAGTTTTTCTTTAGCTACACATTATTCTTATAGAAGGGCATAGTAATTTTGTAATTTAGTGAGGTTTACACCTCGAGATTTGCAAGAATGGGGATAGTGGTGAAAGAATGAAGTTTTGTAAACTGGCATTTCCCTCCATTGTGTCTAAGCAGATTGTATCTCCACCTGAGTATGTATGTTGGTCTGCTGGTATTAGGAAGCCAAGGCTTACTGGTACTGTATCTTAGTTCAAACCAATGGATTCTTAATTTTTTAAGGCTAAAGATGAAGGTCCCTAAGTTAAAGATAATTTGGAAGAACCTGCATAGGTTTTCAAACCAACTGAAAATGCAAACCATAGTGAAATGTGCCTGGGATTTCTACAGAAAAGACTGTGTTCTGCAAAAACACTAATTCTTTATGAAGTTAAAAGATGGTGTGTTTGGACCACACAAAATTAAATTCTTCAGAGAATGTGAAATCAGAGGTCCTGGTGCAAGATTCTGTTTTTGTTGTGCCACCTGATTGGAACAGGAGTAAGACTGACCCTAAGGTAACATCAGCTGCTTTTCAACCTGGAGACCCTGAGTTCATGACAGTTTTGTTTTGTTTTGTTGTTCCTCTAGAAAATGAAGACAGTATCTTTTTAAGTGATCCTTACATTGTTTACATTGTTCTTAAAAGGTATTTTTATGAGAACTTTTCAGATGTTTTTATTTCACAGATGACAGTTTAACAATTTAAGAGATGAAATTAGGTCAAACATTTTACAAATACTATATTTTAGTGTCTTTATATTAGGGAACATGGAAAGACCACGAAAATCCCTTCTGTCCACAAAAATCCCTTGGGAAGGTAGGCATTCAACTTCACTAATTTGACTTTTACTAGTTTTAATTTTTTCTAAGTTGCTTTGTAACTGTTGCATGTTTAACTCTATCACTGAAAATGAAGGCCCACCTTGCTATTTATAGTTTTTTAATCCGTATACCGATTGTTGACTGATCTTCTGTATCTCACGTCGCCAGGGAGGCACATAACGTCTCTTGTCTTTTAAGTGGCATTTTAAGCGGCATTTTAAGCTCATAAAATTTTGTCATTAGACTGTTAGCTTTTTGGGCAGACAGTGCTTTTCAAATAATTCAGCAACTTTTTAAGGACCAGTTGCAGCTCAAGTATAAAGTCTTTGCTTTTAGTAATACTGATGCTACTGTGGTTACATATTTTGGAAAACTATTCCCCTAAAAATGTGTACACTATGACACAGAAACACTATGCAAGCCTTAGCCTTAATGAGATAGTACTGAAAAGTAACAGTGATTTGAGACCCAGAACTCTTTGTGGGGAAGGAATCACTATGTATACAAAAGAATGGGTTGTACTACTGAAGAGCTGCCTTTTTTTTGCACAAAAGCCAGATAACGTACTCCTTTTACTCTAAGAAATACTTGACAAGGAACCCATTCGTGAACATCCGGGTTTGGTGTCAATCAAACCTGAGTTGAATTCCAGGACCTCTCTGTCATTTCTAATTCTGATTCTGGACTCTGCCCTAGTTTTCCAATTTGTAAAAAACATTAATTCTTACAGAAGAATGAGTTACTAGCTACTTAAGGACAGGGATTTTGTAAACTTTCTCCCATGAACACAATATGCAATTAAGTAATCTTAAACAACTGAAGTCACTAATACTGAATGCTCAGTAAACTTCAATTTTTATCAGAAACCCTGTATTAGTACTTAGATTTCTAGCTTATGCTAAGAATTACATTTCTACATTCATGTTAGTGATTTATAGTCAGCTAACTGCCAAATACTTCCCATTATTCATGGGAGTAGTTTTCTAGGAATCTCAAGATACAAATAGGCAAATTTTGGTCCTTTTGATCTAGGCAGGCTCAAGAATCTACATTTAAAAGACAAATCCTACAAAGGATTCAGATACAGATCATATGAATACCAGACAAAAATGTTCGGACTTTTTAAGCATTGTTCTTCCATGTGAACCATTCTCTGGCTAAGCTGACCAGTCTGCTGAACTAGAATTCCTGAATATGTAAGGAAAAAAAGTTATAGCACTCTACTACACCACAAGATTACTTCTAATACCTCAATTTTTACCATTCATTGTTTCTTCACTGCTTTAGTTTATGGTCTGTAAAAACATCTGCCTACTAATTTGAAATGAACTCTTCAAAGGGAGTGCATAAATGCAAATGTTACATAAGCATATAGTCTAACCCCTAAAACAGTTGCATTTATTCTTTTGAGTAAAATATGTCACTTAAGCATAATCTAAATCAATCACTGGAATTATAAATCAAGTAACTGCACAGGATTCAAAGGTAAGAAAAGACACAGCCAAGACACTTAACACATCAAACAATCTCTAATAAATACAAAAATATTTATAAGAAAATGTCATATCTTGTGAAACAATAACTTTTTAGTTCTTTATAGAGGAATGCATAAAATGCCAAAGCTGAAGTTACATTCATAACCAGCTTAGTGAGGATGTCGCCCACTGCCTAACATCTGTAGGACAGTTGGGGTACTTCTGCAGAGCATTCATAATTTGAGTATTATCCAAAAGTAGCTTCATCAGCTGGTACTCTCTCTGTGAATTTACTGAAGTTCTTTCGATGGGCTTTATTAGTTCTAATTGTTGTAAGTGTTCAAAAGCCTGAAAGATCAAAGAAAAAAGTTGAATAGAGGTGGAAAGTAAAAAATGTAACCCAGAGAACATTTATGGTTTTGGTCATTTGTAGAACAGAATACCAGGAAATAAAACTTAGCAAAAATCAATTGAGTTTAGAAACAACTAGCATAAACCCCATAAAAGTTTCATTACCTCTGGTAAAACAGTCTCAATGCAGTTTCTATGTCTGTATTGTTGAATGTAAATAGGACAGACTAATTCAGCCTGCACAGTATGGTTTTGTTCCTAACCACATTCTAAATCGATTCCTTCTGGTACATTAACTGACAAAGTGTTTGCAGTTCTCTTTAAGAACCCAAGAATCTAATAAGACATTTTATCACCTAGGTTGCTCAAATCTGCACTTATGTTTTGTTTCTACCTTTATAAGACTCTGCTGGGTAAAAGTTTAACGTGGGAGGCAACTCCTGTTCATGCCAAGTCTGTTCAGCTAATACTGTAAGTAATTTTTTCAACAGTGTAATGCAGGCATGAATTAGAGCTAACCAATTCCTGATACTATTAAGTCTGGCTGACATTGTCTCCTTCTTCCATCATCCCTCTCCAAAAGGGCTATTTACTATCTGCTTTCTCTTACCCTAATATTCATGTTTTTATGTGGCTTCTAACTTTGTTGTTAGGTATATTATTAGGATATTAAAGAATAATGGCAACATATTAACCATTAGTGATACACTGAAAGATTCATGAGCATTCCCTTCTTATAGCTTACTGTAAAAATACTGTTTGAAGGGCTGGTGCTGTTGTGTAGTAGGTAAAGCTGCTGCCTGCAGTGCCGGCATCCCATGTTTGCCAGTTCAAGTCCTGGCTGCTACACTTCTGACCCAACTTCTGGCGAATGTGCCTGAGAAAGCAGTGGAGGACAGCCCAAATCCTAGGGCCCTCTGCAGCCACATGGAGACAGTGAAGAAGCAATGGGCTAAACTGGTCATTGCGGTTATTTGGGAAGTGAACCAGCAGATGGAAGAGCTGTCTCTCCTTTTCTCTCTCTATAATTGCCTTTCCAGTAAGTAAATAAATAAAATTTTAAAATACTGTTGGAATATATTCTCTATCACAAAATTCTTCTGCAAAGATAAACAGATACCATTGATTTCTGATAGTGAGAAAACGCTGGAGGTTCCAGATGTTGGGGCTCAATGAAATAAGACTTAAACTACTCCTAGGCAGCAAAATATTTTCCTTATTTAAAATACAGAATTGAGCAGTTGCAAATTATTTTTAAGAACTTAAATACTGTGATAGGCACTGGGCTCAGTGGTTTAAGCTGCTGTTTGGAAAGCCTGCATCCTATATCAGATTTCCTGGTTCCAATTCCCAGCTACTATGCCCTTAACGATTCAGCTTCCTGCCAATGTGGACCCCAGGAGGCTGTGGAAGATGGCTGAAGTACTTAGGCTCCTGCTACCCATGTAGGAGACCCAGGTGGAGTTCGTGGTTCCAGGCTTTGACCTTCTGTAGCCCAGAATGTTGCAAGCACTTGGGGAGTGAACCAGATGTATGATCTCCCTACTCAACACCCAACCTCCCTGAGGTCAAAGTAACTTTCAAAAAATAAATAAAAACAATTTTTGAATGCTTAGGTAAACTTTTCCACTTTTTAAAAATAAATTTATTTATTTGAAAGAATTACAGAGAAAAAGACACAGGGATCTTCCATCCACTGGTTTACACCCCAAATGGTCGCAACAGCCAGGCCTGGGCCAGGCTGAAGTTAGGAACAAGGAGCCAGGCGTTTCATCCAGGTATCCCATGTGCGCACAGGGGCCCCAGTATTTGGGCCATCCTCCACTGCTTTCCCAGGTGCATTTGTAGGGAAATGGAGTAGTTGGGATTCAAACCAGCGCCCATATGGGATGCCAGTGCTATAGATGGCTTAACATGCTACGCTGCAGCACCTGCCTCAAACTTTCCACTTTTACAACTCCCAAAAACTATGAGATGTGGAGTTAGAGGGAAAAACACCACCTGCATGATGCTAAATACTCTGATTTCTTTTTGAAAAAAAATGGCAGCATTCTCTGCACTCCCATTTTTTGGTGGTACAAGAAATAAAATTGTGATTACTAGAGCCTAATATCACAAGGCTGTTTCAAGTCCTTGTTCTTCCACTTCTTATGCAGCATCCTCTTGATGTGCCTGGGAAGGCAGCTGATGATGGCTCAAGTATGTGGGTCCCTGTACCCACGTGAGAGACCTGGATAGAGTTCTTTGCTCTAGGTTTCAGCATGGCCCAGCCCTGGCTGCTGCAGGCATCTGGGAATGAACTGATGGTTGGAAGATACCTCTTTGTGCTTTCAGATAAATCATTTCTTTAAAGTAGTTCTTTGTATAAAACCCTCTAGAACTGTATTGCCCATATTGAGCATTCAAGTACTTGAAACAGAGGACTCCATTTTTAATTTTATCTGTTATTCGCTTAATTTAAAAACTAATACTTGGCTCAATCAGAAAATTGTATGTCTGGAATAATCTCAATATATAAATTACTTTCTCATTTATTTTATGGATTCTTTTTTTTTTTCCAGAAAGATTATTTATTTGAAAGGCAGAGTTACAGAGAGGCAGAGACAAAGAGAGAGATCATCTATCCACTGGTTTACTCCCTATGTGACCACAACAGCCAGAGCTGTGCTGATCTGGAGTCAGGAGCCAGAAGCTTCTTCCGGGTCTCCCACATGGGTGCAGAGCCCAAGGACGTGGGCCTTCTTCCACTGCTTTCCCGGGCCATAGCAGAGAGCTGGATTGGAAGTAGACAGCCGGGATTTGAACCGGCACTCATATGGGATGCTGGCACAGCAGACGGCAGCTTTACTAACCGCTACACCACAGCGCCGGTCCCTATTTTAAGGATTCTATAGAGCAAGTATTTCCAATGAATATTTAGAGGCTTGAAATGTGCTATAAATATAAACATACACAAAATTTCAAAAATTTACTGTAAAAGGAAATAAAGCTACATTCATTAATAACTTCTTATACTGACTGTGGTGTTTAAATATTTTTTATATACTGAGTTCGAGCTAATCCCCCCCTTTTTTAAGTCTTATGGGTAGAATGGAATCTAAAACTGTATCATATATTCACATTATCTTTATTGTGAAAAACAGTACCCTAAATAATACCTTAAGAGGGTGGGCATTGTGGTGCAGTGGGTAAAGTAGCCATTGGGGATGCCTGCATCCCATATCCGAGTGCTGAAATTCCAGTTTCATCTCCACTTCAGACGCACCTTCCTGTTAATGTGTACCCTCAGAAGCAGCTAGTGATGACCCAAGTGCCTGGGCCCCTGTCACCCATATGGAGAACCTGGATGGAGATTCCAACTCCTGGCTTCACCTGGCACTGGCCTGGCTATTGTGAGCATTTGTGCAGTGGGTAGAGGTTTCTTTTTCAAATAAATTAAATGTGAAATAATTTTAAAGTTTTAAATGACTCTTGTCTGCATTTTTATCTCCTTTTACTGGTGTGATGACAAGCAATTCTTGGACTAGAATGAGACGATTACAGCAATGTTTTTTTTTAACTGTAATGAGTAGCTCCTTTTCAGGATGCAAGTGCTATGAATAGACAGCAGAGGGCAGTGCAACACCACAAACTAAAACAGAACTAGTTGCCTTCAAAATACTGAAACATTTTAAAATTTTTGTCTGTTTAAAAAAAATCCCTAATACTTAATGTCTGAAAGTGCAACTTTGATATATATATATTTATAATCAAACTGGATGTAAAAGCTACTTGTCTAAAAAACAGCAAACCAATCTTACCTTCATGACAACAGGTTTCTCAAAATTATAAACAGAATGGGCCTTTCTTTGAATAAACTTTTGAAACTCTGGATAGGAAGAAATGAAAATATCAGAACCTTCACACAAGCAATAGAAGAGAGAAACAATCAAAGTCTTAGCTCACCATTATAGACCATTTGAAAATTAAAGGGCTCCTCTTCATAGATGTCATTTAAATGTTTCATTGCTATAATAAGACAGATTTCCAAAACTGACAGACCTACAGTAAAATAAAAACTATGAGTTGTAGTTAAAGAGACATAAGATTATACTGTCTTCTGAAGAGCATAATACAGTCAAAGATCATAGCTTCGTGGGCTGGAGGCCAAGCCTCTCCTAGACCCAAATGGTTTCCATCACTATTATCTTTACAAACTTAAGTTACTTAACCATGTGAGGTTTAATTTTTCATAATCTGAAAAATAAGGTACTTTCTACACTTAGAAAAATTACAAGTATTAGAGACACGATAACCAAACATTCATGATATAGCCCACAGTAAACAATATATAGGAACTGCAATTACTGTTTTTAAATCACAAAGGTCCTTGGGTGGGATTTATTGAGAGAATCCCTAAACTTCTTCAAATCATATCCAAAACTGTACTGTTTCCCGGGAAAGAAAATGTTCGTCAGAGACTCAAAAGGGATAATGAATCCCAAGTGATAAAAAAATTAGTGAATGCTCTTCAGTGGCACTGGTTTAATGAGAATGTCAGCAACATAGTCTTGCCTGGGTTTCCAAAGTGGCATGAGAAGTGTCAAGTTTCCATCACTTTAAATAGTAATAGTAATGGCTTTTTAAGAACTGAGTTAGGGGCAAGCGCTGTGGCATAGTGGGTAAAACTGCCACCTGCAGTGCCGGCATGCCATATGGGTGTCGGTTCAAGTACCAAATGCTCCACTTCTGATCCAGCTCTCTGCTATGGCATAGGAAAGCAGTGAAAGATGGCTTGGGCCCCTGCACCCACGTGGGAGACCCGGAAGAAGCTCCAGGCTTTGGATCAGCGCAGCTCAACTCAGGCCATTGTGGCCAATTGGGGAGTGAACCAGCGGATGGGAAGACCTCTCTCTCTCTCTCTGCCTCTCCTTCTCTCTTTGTGTAACTCTTTCAAATAAATAAAATTTTTTTTTAAAAAAGAACTGAGCTAATGGTTCTCCATGAATATAAAAGTATTCTTAACATAAAATGATGCCAATGTTAATTTCGAAAAAAAAAATATATTATCTAAATTCAAACTTTTTATAACTAAAAAAATTATTATTAGGCTTCTCACCATGTACAATATTGGCTTTAGAATCCATGCTACACAGCTGGTTAGCCTCCATAAGATCTGCTGGAGTCACAAATGGATGAGATGCTGTTACTCGATTTAAAGCAAGCATCTAGGCAAATGTAGAATAGAGAAAGGATTACGTATTTACTGTGTGATTTTGGAGATATAAGAGGGCAAAACTTCTGAATTTGCATAATTTATGCCTAAGAGAAAGTAAATATTAATGCTTGGCAAAGGTATTCTCCAGTTTAGGTCTAATAAACACAGTATTTCAACTCATTTCATATTACTCTACAAATGTACAATATGAACAAATTCTTGCCACTCTTCCTACCCCTTTCCTCATGTGTAATTTACCCCTCAAAAGAACATTTCAAAGCGTAAGGTGATGAGAAGAAACAAAGTAAAAATGCTAATCAACCAGCCAAAGTTAGTGTAAGATAGAAGTCAGCTATTTTCTGTTTGATTGTACAAAGAATATCTATACCATGAAATAATTCTCCTTGAAAGCAGAGCCTGCTTCTTATTTAACTAACATTGTCACACAAATACCTTGAGATTTCTTTTTGCTTTCTTTATATACATAAAATTTTTCATAAAAGTTAAATTTTTTCATTTAAGGTTAGCAGATAAAAACTGGTATCATCGGGGCCGGGGTTGTGGTGTAGCAGGTGAAGCTACTGCCTGCAATGCCGGCATCCCATATAGGCACCTGTTCTTGTCCTGGCTGTTCCATTTCTGATTCAGCTCCCTGCTAATGCACCTGGGAAAGCAGCAGAGGATGGCTCAAGCCCTTGGGGGCCCTGCACCAATGTGGGAGACCCGGAGGAAGCGCCTGATCCCTGGCTTTGGCCTCACCCAGCCCTGGCTGTTATGGCCATTTGGGGAGTGAACCAGCGGATGGAAGATTTCTTTAGCTCCCCTCTGTTTCTTTGTAACTCTGCCTTTCAAATAAATAAATCAAAAATCTTCAAAAAGAACAAAAAAAATCCCTGATATCATCAGGTTAGAATTGAATTTTGGATAAACAATGAGAAACTGCTTAGTAAAAGTATATACCATGCAATATTTGGGATATACTTATCTTCCATCAAAACCCAGGCACAGGTGCCTTACTTGAGCAGAAGAGTTTGGCAATCCTTGTCTTTCATCCTCTGCCTGGCTGGAAACCAGGTCACCAGTAGCTGTTTCCCTTCCTCTGATGTTTCTTTTTTTCCTTTCACTTTTTTATTTTATTTTGAAAGGTAGAGTGACAGGGACACATACATACCTATCTACTATCCACTGGTTCACCTCCTCAAATGCCTGAATCAGTCAGGACCCAGAACTCTATCAAGGTCTCCTTTGGGTGTGCTCTGGTACTTAAGCCCTCATTTGCTCCCTCCCAGGATGCACATTATCAGGAAGCTGGATCAAAATTGAAGCAGGACTCAATCCCAGGTACCAGCTTAAGCTGCAGTGCCACACATGCCCTTCATTTTTCATTCTGAAATACTTTTTAACACGCAAAAAGACAACAGAGTAATACAATGCATTATCTATGGCCCCTTTCCCAGTTTAATGTAATTTTATAGAGATGAAGCCCCTCTCCTCCTAGACTCTCTAGACTTCTCCACACAAAATAAATCAGTATGTATTCCTAGAAAACAGAGTAATTTTCAAATATCATATAAATACTATTGTAGTTTCACAACTATCTTTTGACTTACCATCTATTAACAGAATTATCCATGTTGAGGTATCAATTCTACTTTATTAATTTTTGGCTGCTATACTGTATTCCTTTGGATATATCCATTATTATTCATTTTCTACTGATGCACATGTCATTTCAATTTTTTTCCTGATTATAAACATGATTCTAATCAGCAATCCTATATCAGACTTCTTGTGCTTTTGAGTTTCTCTAGTTACCTACTTAGCTAAATGGATCTCCAAAGCGACTATACACATTTACATTAAAAGTAGTAACTTTTGGGGCCCTAGCAGGTAAGGCTGCCACCTATGGTGACAGTATCACATATGGATCCTGGCTTGAGTCTTAGATGTTCTACTATGATCTAGCTTCCTGTTAGTATGCCTGGGAAAGCAGCAGAAGGTGGCTCAAGTACTTGGGCTCCTGCACCCACATGGGAGACCTGGAAGAAGCTCCTGGCTTCTGACCAGCCCAGCTCTGGCGGTTGTGGCCATCTGGAGAATGAACAAGTGGGTGGAAGATCTCACTTTGTCTCTAACTCTGCCTTTCAAATAAATGGATAATTAAAAAAAAAAAAAAACCTTTTTATATTCATACTATAACATAACATGTAAACGCTAATACACATCAGACTAGTAGAAAAGTCTAATTGCAGCATTTGTCTGTAATCTTCTCAAATGTAAAGATCTTCCACAGCAAAGAAAAAGATAATCAATAAAGGAATGAGATAAGAATATGAGCAAGCAACCCATCAAAGTAGAAGTCTACATTACTAAGCAAGCTATTATTTAATTCATTATGATGCATTAAAAATTTAAGAGGAAACTGGCAAAATAATAGTTGTTCCTGTTGACAATACTGAGGCAGAGATACTTTCCCAGAATAATGGGAGATATATATATATGTATATGTGTATGTATGTATTTTTTTTACTCTAAAAATTCTTATTAACCAAATTCCTTCATGATAAAAACAGCTGGTGCTAGTGCTGAGGAGCTAGTGTTGTGGCATGACAGGCAAAGCTGCTGTTGCCTGCAACAATGGTACCTCATACAGGTGCTAGTTTGTGTCCAGGCTGCTCTTCTCTGATCCAGCTCCCCGCTAATGGCCTGGGGAAAGCAATGGAACATGGCTCAAGTGTATGGCCCCCTGCCAGCCATGTGAGAGACCTGAAAGCAGCTCTTGGCTCCTGGTTTCAGCCTAGATGAGCCCTGGCTGTTGCAGCCATTTGGGGAGTGAACCACAGCAGGTGGAAGATCTCTCTCTGTCTCTCTTTGAAATTCTAATAAATAAATCAATCTTTGTTTAAAAACATAGCTGGTGCTGAAAATATCAGTGTACTTTTGATTGATGGACAGGAGATAAACTAATAAGTAGGAAGCCATATAAAAAGAAAAAGACTTAAATTTCCTTAGCAAAACAAGAAAAGGGAAGGCAATCTGTAACGAACATGGCAGAACCACAGAATAAAGTAGAAAAGAAACTTGAAGTCAGCCAGCCTTGGATGCAAGTATTGCTGACTAATATCTCTCAGATCTTTATCAAGTTATTTAGTGTCAAGGTGCCTCAGTATCTACAAGGGTAAGGATAAAAGTACCTAAGGAAAAAAAATAAGATTGTAGAGGTTAGTAATGTAGGTAAATTAACAATAATAGTAACATTTCTTGTCAAGAAATATTAGCAATTATCACTATTGTCCTATTACTATTAATGAATATTGACCAAGAGACTCCTAAAACCAAAGCTATTTTCTTTGAAAGGTATTTGCCCAAGACAATTTTCTAGAAATACTACACTAATTTCAAACTGTTAGGAAGAAGTTCTTTAATTTTCAGAATAAAGTAATTTTAATTGATATTGTTTAAAGTTAGATGCAATTACTTGGTGAAAGACTATGATTAACTAGAATGTATTCCAGGTATAAGATACTGGTTGATTTTTCAAAAATCTATCACTGTTACCCAAGCAAATCAACAGGTTAGAGAGAAATTATATAATCATATTATACTGATTAAGAGTAAGCATTTGACAAAATCCAACATCCACTCATAAACTCTCAGCAAGTTAGAAATGAGGAGGAATTACCTCAAATGTTTAAAGAGCGTGTATAAAAAATGCATAACTAACATCATTATATTTCATAGTAAAAGACTGAATGCTTTCCTTATAGGATTGAGAATGAGGAAGGATATTTACTTTAATTGTAGAGTTATTTCTAGGCACTGCAATAAAACATAAGAAAATCAGGATACACATTTGGTACTGTTATTAAAATGCCTCTTGGGAATGCACATTACGTATCAGAGTGCCTGCTTCAAATGCAAGTTCCTTCGCTTCCAACCTAGCTTTCTGCTATTGCATGCTCTGTGAGGCAGCAGATTTTAGATAGCGTAAGTACTTGCATCCTTGTCACCCACAGGGGAGAGCTGGTATGAGTTCTGGGCTTGCCCTTAGCTGCTGAGGATATTTGGTGTTTGGGGAGTAAACCAGCAGATGGAAGATCTTGCTCCAATCTCCTGCTCTGGCTCCAAATAAAATTTTGTTAAAAAGAAAAAAATAAAATGCATACAGTCTAAAAAAGCAAGTAACACCATCTCTATTCATTGTGATTGTTAACATGGAAAATCCCAAAGAATCTTAAAACAAATTCATAGAATTACTAAATTTAGTGAAATCATAGCAGATCAAAACAATCACATTCCTGTATACTAACAATGAGAATACTAAAACCAAAATTTAAAAATGCTGTCTACAGGAGCCAGCACTGTGGTGCAGTAGTTTAAGCCAAGCATCCTATACTGACATGCTGGCTAGAGACCTGGGTGCTCTGCTTCCGATCTAATTCCTTGCTAATGCTCCTGGGGAAGCAGCAGATTTGCCTGAGTGCTTGAACACCTACAATCCATGTGGGAAACCAGGATGGAGCTCTGGGCTCCTGGCTTTAGAAAAGACCAGTCCAAGCCATTGTGGCCATTTGGGGAATGTATCAGCAGATGGAAGATCTCTGTCTTCACCCTCCTCATTTTCTTTCACCCTGCCTTTCCAAAAAAAAAAAAAACAACTTATTTAAAATTGTATCAAAATTAATTAAGTATAAACATTAAATATATTTATTATCTGTGTGGTGAAAAACATTACAAAAAAGATTAAGTAAAATGAGATACATAACATATTCAGGAATTGGAATACTCAAAGTGGTAAGCATGTCAGTTCTCCCAAATTTATCTATAGGTTTGATCATTTCCTGTGAAAACTTAATCACTTGGTGAAAGAAAGTGACTGATAAATCAAACTAATACCAACCAATAGCATGTGTAATGACCGCAGGTTTTTGCTGACATTGAAATGCTTCTGTAGTACTTCTCTCACACTTCTATCTTCTGAGAGACACTAAAGAAAATAACAACAGAACAATGTTGTTTAAAACCTAAGTAATACATGGGGTGGGCATTTAGCCTAGCAATTACAATGCCTGTGCCTCATATCAAAGTATCTGGATTTGCTAACCCAGCTCTGGGTTCTGACTCCAGCTTCCTGCTAACATAGATCCTGTGAGGCAACTGTGATGAGTTCCTGCCACCCACCACGTGGACCTAGACTGAGTTCCCAGCTTTGGCCCAGCACAGCCCCAGAGATTTCTCACAATTGAGGAGTAAACCTGCAGACAGGATTGCTCTGTGTGTCAGTCTTTCTCTCTCTCTTAAATAAATAAAAAAAAAATAAACCATACTAAATATAATCTTGTGCTTCATTGGTTGGTATACTTTTTAAATCTATCTGATACTGACTCAGTTTTCATATATTGTGGTTTTCAATGCTAAAATCACAAGATTTCAAGTCCATTGATTTTCTTCATATCCTTTAACATTAATCTGCTATTCCAAAATTTCTAGTCTAACAAGGGAAACTACACAGTCACACTAATGCAGCATGGAGCACAGAGAATGAGAGCTACTGTACCTGAGAGAACGAGGAAAAGTATTACAAGAACATTTAAGCTGCACGAGTTACTATGTTAAAATGAAAAGGGGGCTGACGCCATGGCCCACTTGGCTAATCCTCCGCCAGCAGCGCCGGCACCCTGGGCTGTAGTCCCGGTTGGGGCACGGGGTACTAGTCCTGGTTGCTCCTCTTCCAGTCCAGCTCTCTGCTGTGACCCGGGAGGGCAGTGGAGGATGGTCCAAGTGCTTGGGTCCCTTGCACCCACATGGGGGACCGGGAGGAAGTACCCGGCTCCTGGCTTTGGATCGGTGCAGTGCCTGCCGTGGCGGCCATTAGGGGAGTGCACCAATGGAAGGAAGACCTTTCTCTCTGTCTCTCTCTCACTGTCTATTAACTCTCTCTCTATCTCTCTCTCTAACTCTGCCTGGGCAAAAAAAAAAGTGGGGGGGAACATTTCAGTTATGGGAACTGTATAAGCATATAGGAGGATCGTTGCATACTGATAGACACTTTTGAGTTGCAGTTATTGGCAAATGAAGAATATGTAAAGAAAACAGAAAAAGTTAGTTGGAGGCAATTTCACCCAACAGTGAAGGAGGGTGTGAAATAACAGAGTGGTACAAAGACAAAAGAGAATTAAGACATTCATAGAAGGCATCTCTGATGGAGAATTAACTAATTGGGAGAAGAGAAGGAAATGACTGAAAGAGGGAAGGAAAAGTTAAAGATGATATAGGAGCAGAATGAACCACAAACAGTATAATGAGGTCAAAAAAATAAACCTTGGATTATCAGTTCTTATAGTATAGATGGAAAAATAAAGAGCAAAGAAGACAGAAGAGAACACAAGAGGGAAGTGATCCAGAACACAAGAGGAAAACTTCAAGACCAAAGGTGATGATCAACAATGTCTACTTTTCTAAATTAAGATAATTAAGATTAGAAATTCAGAGATCAGTAAGGTCCTCTGAGAAAGCAATACCTAAACGAGCCACATATCTGCAATGAATTAGGATTGAATGAAAAGTGAAAAGTACTTGGTAATGAGAAAAGATTAGATGAAAGGAGACTAAATTCAGAGGCGGCAGTTCCAAGAAGGGCTCGGGGAAGATTAACGGAATTTTTCAAAACTCACTGGCATGAAATAAGGATTCTATTTCCTTATTAAAAAATAAATCCCAGAAAACTAAGCATTTCTGTATTTTCTACATCTATTATTGCATGTCTTTACTTCTGGCACTACAAGAAAAAACCAGATTCAGGAGTAAGTTCTATTCTATTCGAAAGGAATTTCTAATATTTTCTCAGTAAATATGTTATCCTAGATACTATTTTAGTTATAGTTCCTACTATTTTAATATTACTTTTAGCTGTTGACTCTTATTTAAAAAAAAAAAAACAGTCTTAAAGACTGGAAGAAGACTCTGTAGAACAGGTGACTCTCTGAATTGACTTCTTATTATTTATTTGAGAGGCACAGTTAGAGATAGAGAGAGGCCTTCCATTCGCTGATTCACATCCCAAATGGCTGCAACAGCGGGAGCTGAGCCGATCCAAAGCCAGGAGCCAAGAGCTTCATCCAGGTCTCCCACATGGGTGCAGGGGCTCTAGTACTTGGATCATCTTCTGCTGCTTTCCCAGGCCATTAGTAGGGAACTGGATCAGAAGTGGAACAGCTAGGACTTGAACCGGTGCTCATATGGGATGTCAGCGCTGCAGGCAGAGGCTTAACCTACTATACCACAGCGCCAACCTCTGTTTACATTTTAAAGGTACTTTTTTCGTTTATAAATTTTTATCATAAATAAAGGCAAATATATTTTGAAGTCCAGAGGATGAACATAAAATAATAAAGCTAAGAAATATAAATAAAAACATTTTAGAAATAGGGCTGGCACTGTGGCGTAGCAGGTAAAGCCAACGTGGTTGTGTTCCTATCCCAGTTGTTCCACTTTTGATCCAGGTAAGGCTAGTGGCCTGAGAAAAGCAATGGAAGATGGCCCAAGTACTCAGTCCCTTGACACAGACTTGGGGGACCTTGATGAAGCTCCTGACTCCTAGCCACTTCAGGGAGCAAATCAGCAGATGGAAGACTTGTTTTCTCAGTCTCTCTCTCTCTGTTGCTCCGAGTTTAAAATAAATAAATCAATCTTTAGGAACAAAACCTTTTTTTCCCCTAAAGATTTATTTATTTATTTGAAAGGCAGAGTTAGAGAGAGGCAGATGCAGAGGCAGAGGCAGAGGCAGAGGCAGAGAGAGAGGTTTTCAATCTGCTGGTTCACTCCTCAAATGGCCACAACGGCTGTAGCTGGGCAGAAGCCGAAGCCAGGAACCTGGAGCTTCCTCTGGGTCTCCCACTGGGGGTGCAGGTGCCCAAGGACTTGGGCCATCTTCCACTGCTATCTCAGGCCACAGCAGAGAGCTGGATCACAGGTGTAGGAACCAGGACTTAAACCAGTGCCCCTATGTGATGCCGGCACAGCAGGTGGCGGCTATACCTGCTATGCCAAAGTGCTGGCCTCAGAAAGAAAACTTTTTATAGATAACAATTTTAGCTTTTCGAACTATTTTTCACTGTTCAGTATGGAAGAAATGTAAGAAACATGTAACTAAATATCATGGACAAACTATAGTCATGACTTTTGTGCTGGATCATATTAAGTCATCTATAAAGCTAAAGTAGTAAAATCAGAGCACTTTCCCAGGAAAAACTAAAGAAAACCACTTGGGACAAAAATAACTGATGAAAACATTTTCTCTTCAAGAAATAAGTTATTTTTTTCTTTTTTAAAATATTTATTTATTTGGAAAGCACAGTTACAGAGAGGCAGTGGCAGTGGCAGTGGCAGTGGCAGTGGCAGAAGTCTTGCATCAGCTGGTTCACTCTCCAAATGGCCACAGCAGCTGTGGATAGACGAGACCAAAGTCAGAAGCAAGGAGTTTCCTCCAGCTCTCCCACCAGGGTACAGGTGACCAAGCACTTTGGCCCTCACCTGCTACTTTCCCAGGCCATAGCAGAGAGCTGGATAGGAAATAGAGCAGCTGGGACTCAAACCCGCACCCGGAAGGGATGCTAGCCCTGCAGGTGGTGGCTCTACCCACTACACCACAGGGCAGACTCTGTAAATTACTTTTAAAATCCCTATTTGCCTTTCTTTGATAAAATACTTCAAAAGGTTCCCTGTATTTTGCCTTCCTATCTCTATACATTTAGAGCTCTGACTCCAACTCCCCCTTTTTCTAAAAGGTATTACTTTTTATTTCCATAATTACTTTATCTGTTTAGGAAAAAAAAGTCTATGTCATTTAAATGTTAGCCACTACTAACAAAAACTTCTCTCATTTTATTTTTTTGATTCCTTCAATATTCAAACACTATGAAATACAAGGATAAGGCTATTATCAATAATCAACTCAACTTAGCTGAAGTGCTTTGGGGAATTTCCTTTGAGGAGAATTAGCTAAAATTTTTTAAATTGCTCTTTTCCAGAGAATTCTCAGCTGTGCTGAGATGGGGCCTGTTCTGCTTATTTATTTGACTAATTTGAGTGCTAAAATAAACCTTGAAATCAAGGAGTTTGTTTAGGTTCAATTCTATACTGAAGCTATTTATTAGATGAGACTTGATGGGTGATTTATTATCTATACTACTGCTTTTGGTTTAACCTTGTTATTAAAAACAACTGCTAGGGGGATGGTAATGTGGCATAGTTGGTAAAGTTGCTGTCTGCAGCGCTGGCATCCCATATGGACACGGGTTTCAGTCCTGGATGCTCTACTTCCTATACAGCTCCCTGCTAATGAGCTTGGGAAAGCAGCAGGAGGTGACCCAAGTACATGGGCCACTAGACCCATGGGGGAGACCTGGATGAAGCTCCTGACTCCTGGCTTTGGCCTGGTCCAGCACTGGCTCTTGTGGCCATGAACCAGTGGATGGAAGATTTATTCCCCTCCACTCCCTCCCTCTCCCTTTCTGTAACTATACCTTTCAAATAAATAAATAAATAAATAATTCAAAAAAAAAAAAAAAAAAAAAAAAAAACAAAAAAAAAAAAACAAAAAAAACCACCCAAACCTGGATAGTCAGCACTGAGCAAAGGACAGCTCCTTTAATATAGCCCATCTCCTTTCCTTGCAGGGCAGGGACTCTGGCCATGGTGCTGACAGGTTTTTCAAGTGAAACTTATGCGTATTTGAAAGGGTGGTGGTACAAAGTGGTCTGGTTAGGAAAAGTAAACATTAGAACAAAGAGAAACAAATCTTAGTGGTTCTAGCTCTACTTTATGACACTGGTTTTAAGATTAAACAAAAAAAAGGGTAGTGCTCACATTCATTCCTAGCATCTGCTACTAAGTTTGGGGGATTACAAGTGTCTTTAATTGCGATTCAGAAAACTAGTGCTGAACCATCCTAAATACAGTGTTACCATTTTATAAGCAACCCAGAGTTATGCTTTACCAGTAATCCCTCATCATTCTCTTAACTTATATACTGTCATTCCTTGGTATTCTCACGTGTGGGGAGGAGAGTAGAGAAGGGAGAGGACTGGTTCCAAGACGTCCTATGGACACCAAAATCCATGGATGCTCAAGTCCCATATATAAAATGGCCTAGTATTTGTATAACTTATACAATCCTTCCACATAGTTCAAATCATCTCTACATTACTTAAAATATTTAATGTTATGTAGTAACTTCAGAATAAAAGAGTGAGCAGGGATGGAAATTAAATCCCTAGGAGAGTGTAGATACTCTAGAATGGCTCCATTTGAATTTCTACCAATCAGAGAAACATTCTGCTGGAATGAGACAATCAGATGTAGCAGGTCTGTGAGGCACTGAAAAATGGATCCAGAGGCTAAAGATCCAGAGTTCAGGTCTGCTCCAGGACTAGGTAAGAGAGTGATAATGTGAGGGTATCAAGTATAAACTGTTCCTAGAGAATTCTTATCAGGTAATGGAATCCAGTAACACATCAGAAAGATCATTCACCTGGACCAAGTTTGTTTATCCCTGGTATGCAAGGATGGTTCAACATTCACAAACCAATCAATGTGATACATCACATTAACAAAAACCATATAATTATCTCTGCATCTGTTGAGATACATATAATTATCCCAACAGAAGCGAAGAAAGCATCTGATAAAATACAACACACTTCCATGATGAAAACTCTAAACAAATTGGGCATAGAAGGAACACTACTCAACACAATCAAGGCAATTTATGACAAACCCACAGCCAGGATACTCTTGATTGAGGAAAAGTTGGAAGCATTCCTACTGAGATCTGTAACCAGACAGGGATGCTCACTCTCACCACTGTTATTCAATATAGTCATGGAAGTTCTAGACAGAGCCATTAAGCACAAAAAAGAAATCAAAGAGATACAAATTTGGAAGTAGTACATCAGGCTATCCCTATTTGAAGACAACATGACTCTATATATAGGGGATACAAAAGACTCCACTAAGAGACTACTGGAACTCAAAGAAGAGTTTAGTAAAGTGGCAGGATAGAAAATCAACAACCACAAATCAACAACCTTTATATACACAGACAATGCCATGGCTGAGAAAGAAATTCTAAGATCAATCCTATTCATAATAGATGCAAAAAAAAAAAATCAAATACCTTGGAATAAATTTAAGAAAGGATGTCAAAGATCCATATGATAAGAATTACAAAACATTAAAGAAATAGGAGATACAAAAAAAAAAAAAAAGGAAAAATCTTCCATGTTCATGGATTCGCAGAATCAATATCATCAAAATGTCTACACTACCAAAGATTTTAGAGATTCAATGCAATAGCAATTTACAGATTCAATGCAATACCAATCAAAATACCAAAGACATCCTTCTAGATATAGAAAAAGTGATGCTGAAATTCATATGGAAACACAGGAGACCCCGAATAGCTAAAGCAATCGTACACAAGAAAAACAAACCAGAGGCATCACAATACCAGATTTCAAGACATACTACAAGGCAGTTATAATCAAAACAGTTTGGTACTGGTACGAAGATAGATAAACCAATGGAACAGAATAGAAATACCAGCAATCAATCCATGCATCCATAGCCAACTTATCTTTGACAAAGGAGCTAAAACCAATCCCTGGAGTAAGGACAGTCTCTTCAACAAATGATACTGGGAAGCAGGACCCCTACCTTAAACCTTACACAAAAATCCATTCAAGATGGATTAAAGACCTAAATCTACAACCTGATACCATCAAATTATTAGAGAACATTGGGGAAATCCTGCAAAATATTGGCACATGCAAAAAGTTCTTGGAAAGGAAAAGACCACAGAGGAACAGACCATCAAAGTCAGAATTTACAAATGGGATGACATCAAATTGAGAAGCTTCTGTACTGCAAAAGAAACACAGGAAAGTAAAGAGGCAACCAACATAATAGGAGAAATTATTTGTAAACAATGCAACTGATAAAGGATTAATAACAGAATATATAAGCAGATCAAGAAACTCCACAACAAACAACCTACTTATGAAATGGGCAAAGGACTTAAACAGACATTTTTCAAAAGAGGAAATCCAAATGGCCAACAGACACATGAAAAACTGCTCAGGATCATGAGTCATCAGAGAAATGGAAATCAAAACCACAATGAAGTTTCACCTCACCCACGTTAGAATGGCTTTCATACAGAAATCAACAAACAACAAATGCTGGTGAGGATAGTGGAAAAAGGTACCCTAATCCACTGTTGGTGGGAATGTAAACTGGTAAAGCCATTATGGAGGAAAGTTTGGTGATACCTCAGAAATCTGAATATAGACCTACCACATTTTCCAGCTATCCCACTGCTGGGAATTTAACCAAGGGAAATGAACTCAGCATATGAAAGAGTTATCTGCATCTCCATGTTTATTGCAGCTCAATCCATAATAGCTAAGATATGGAATCATGGCCGGCGCCGCGGCTCAACAGGCTAATCCTCCGCCTTGCGGCGCCAGCATACCGGGTTCTAGTCCCGGTCGGGGCGCCTGATTCTGTCCTGGTTGCCCCTCTTCCAGGCCAGCTCTCTGCTGTGGCCAGGGAGTGCAGTGGAGGATGGCCCAATTGCTTGGGCCCTGCACCTCATGGGAGACCAGGAGAAGCACCTGGCTCGTGGCTTTGGATCAGCCCGGTGCGCAGGCCGCAGTGCGCAGGCCACAGTGCGCCAGCCATGGCGGCCATTGGAGGGTGAACCAACGGCAAAAGGAAGACCTTTGTCTCTGTCTCTCTCTCTCACTGTCCACTCTGCCTGTCAAAAAAAAAAAAAAAAAAATTAGGGGATATGTACACCATGGAATATTACACAGCAGTAAAAAAAAAAAAAGTTGTTTGCAACAAAATGGATAATGCTGGAAAACATCATACTTAGTGAAATAAGCCAGTCTGATAAGGACAAATACGATAAGTTTCCCTTGACTTGTGATACAGAACACCTAATAGGTAATCTAGAGAAGTGAAATTGACACTCTGAAAAGCAATGAGTTTGAAAAGCCCTTGTCTCACCTGTTGAGGAACAGTTTTTTTTTTTTATACTATTAGTTGAACTCTTTACTTAACATAGAGTTAATCATATGTGTATAAAGTTAACTAAGAATAGATCTTACAAAAAAGTAAGAATAGGAATAGGAGAGAGAGGAGGAAAAGGGCTTGGAGAGTAAGTGGAGGGTGGGAACGGTGGAAAGAATCACCATGTTCCTAAAGTTGTAATTATGAAATATATGAAGTTTATATTCCTCAAATAAAAGGTTTCTGGGAAAAAATAATCCAGTGAGATAAAAGCTGAAATTGTGGGGCTGCATTGTGGTGCAGTGGATTAAACAGTACCATCTGTGACTCTGGCATCCCCTATGAGCACTGGTTCACTGGTTGTTCCAATTTCAATCCAGCTCCCTGGTAATGCATCTGGGAAAGCATCAGAAAATGGCCCAAGTACAAGGCTCCTGGCTTCAGCCTGGCCCAGCTCTGGCCACTGCAGACATCTGGGGTATGAACCAGGGTGTGCTCAATTTTTGTTTTTCTTTTTTCTCTCTCTGTAAACTCTGCATTTCAAATAAATAAATAAATCTTTTTTAAAAAACAGCTGTAGTTGTTTATGAGAACTGAAGGTGGGAAAAAAAGCTGCACAGGATATATATAAACCACTAACAAAGTAACTTGCTAAAGCTGCAAAAGATAGAAAATAACTTTTACTTTTCACATTCATTAATAAAATGCTCTACAATATAAAGCAGATTTGGATAACACACAAATCTCATTAAAGTTTACTTGATATTACTGACATAAGTCCTATGGTTTGAATTTAGGAGATATTTCAATTGCCTTTAATAGAAGAAAATAAGAAAACAAAGTGCATAATTTGCATTCTTGTGGTTACGTTTTTAAACCATAGTAACACCAGAGTTAATGCACAAATTCTTAAGATTTGTAATTTTAATTTTTTTTGTTTGGTATACAAGGACATGTAAGTCACTTTAACATAATTGTCTTCAAGTTACCTGAACATTCTCATTCCATTTTTCAGCAAAAACCTTGTCTGGAAATTCTGCAGGTAGAGATAATTGTTCCTTAAATATTTTAACATACTGTGGAAAACCAAACGAATTCATTAAGTGTATCTGTCTGTGAGAAAATCGTGACTTCACTCTTTTTTCTAGGAGTTCCAAAATATCCTTAAAAACAAACAGAAATCTTTGTTAAGATAATTACACCAATGTTATAGGTATATGTAAACTACCACCTCTAATTAATAACGCTTATTCTTTAATACATTATTAAGCATTAAAAAAAAAACTTCATGAAAATTAAACAAAACACTTCCAGCCACTTGCAGGCTTGGAGATGCCATGTCTTTTTCCTGTATTATTCTCAGCTAATGTGATCTATAATGATTGCTAAGGAAAAATTGTGACAATTTAATGACTAGTCATATCCCTCAGTAAAAATAAAAGGAAACTTGATACATTCTATGAAGAATTCAAATAACAAATTAATAAAACACAGTGAGCTTATTACATTCATAAGAATTTAAACATCTTCATAGTTTTATGTAACAAAGACTCAAGAAGCAGGAGGTGTAATGAGGCAAACTTCAGTTTGTTAAGCTATCTATAAAATTAAGCTACCACAATCAGCTATAGGAATCAACTGCAGGAGAGCAAACAGGTAAGAATACAGTATAACACTGGGAAGGAATCTGCCTTTTTGTTTTTTTATAGTAATATTCTTAAAAACCACTTGTATTTGTATCATTTCTTCTTTTTTTCTAAAAATGTATTTTATTTGAAAGGTAGACTTATATATAGAGACAGAGCCAGAAAGAAAGATTTTTCATGTGCTGGTTCACTCCCCAAATGGCCACAACGGCCACATCTGAGCTAACTGTAAACCAGGAGGAGCCTAAAGCTTCTTCCAGGTCTCCCATTTTGGGGCAGGAGCCCAAGCAGTTAGGCCATCCTCCATTATTTTCCCAGGCACATTACCAGGGAGCTGGATTGGAAGTGGAGTAGGCAGGACTTCCACCAGCACCCATATGGGATGCCAGTGCTGCAGGCAGAGGCTTTACACACTATATCACGGCGCTGGCCCCTGTGCCATTTTTCTTAAGGAGAAATTAGATACTAAGTTTACTGTCAAAGAACACTAGATGCCAAAAGATAACTAACATATCCTACTTGTAAGAATGAAGGAAATACTCTCACAAAACTGATATGCATTCAAACTGCCCCAGATATCAGGAGCACAGTATGGAAGTTGTCTTTGTCATGTATGAGGAAACATCAAACACTGAGTGAAAAATGGAATTAAAAGATAATATACATTTCCCATGAACTTATGGAAGTCTCCTTACAGCTGGATAAGAACTCATTTCTAATTTTTTTTTAAGATTTATTTATTTATTTGAAAGGCAGAGTTACAGAGAGACAGAGGCAGAGAGAGAGAAGTCTTCCATCCGTTGGTTCACGCACCAGATGGCTGCAATGAATGGAGCTGTGCCGATCCAAAGGCAGGAGCCTGGATCTTCTTCCTGGTCTCCTATGCGGGTGCAGGGGCCCAAGGACGTGGGCCATCTTCTACTACTTTCCCAGACCACAGAAGAGAGCTGAATTGGAAGAGGAGCAGCCACAACTCGAACTGGTGCCCACATTGGATGCTGGCACTGTAGGCAGCAGCTTTACCTGCTACACCACAGCGCTGGCCCCTCTAAATATATTTTTAACACTGAGCTTAAACAATCTTTCAAAAGATTTTATGGTATACAGAATTACCCAAATCACCTAACAATTCCACTTCTACTTATACAACCAAGGGAAATGTAAAAGTATATGCAACAGGTCCAGCACTGTGGTGCAATTGGTAAAGCCATAGCCCTCAGTGCCAGCATTACATATGGGCACAAGTTGGAGTTCTGGCTGCTCCACTTCCAATCCATCTCCCTGCTAATGTGCCTGGGAAAGCAGTGGAGAATGGCCCAGGTGATTGGGTCCCTGCACCCACATGGGAGACCCGGATGAAGTTCCTGGCTTTGGCCTGGCCCAGCCCTGGATGTTGTGGCCATTTAGGGAGTGAACCAGCAGATGGAAGATCTTTCTGTTTCTCCCTCACTCTAACTCTGCCTTTCAAATAAATAAATCTTTTTAGAAATGTATATCCACCAAAAAACACATAAATGAATGTTTACAGCACTATTATTCATAGTAACTTAAAACATGTAAAGACCCCAAATGTCCATAAATTTGTGATTAGATAAACACAATGTGGAATAGCTATACAATGGAACATTAGTTGGCAATAAAAAGGAACAAAGAACTGATAAATTCTACATTATGGATATATCTTGAAAACATTATGCTAAGTGAAAGAAGTCAGTCAAAAAGACTATTTTTATCTTCTAAAAACATTCATGAAATGACACAATGTCTGGCAGGGATGGAAGGATTCAGTGAAGGATAACAAGAGCTAGTTTGTTGTTACTGCTGAAGCTATGGAAATCAGGGATTACTACTTGATTCTCTTCTATGCATACTGTTGAAATTTTCTATAATAAATTATTTTAAAAGAGCATGCAGAGAAGCCCAAAAATAAAATTTTTAAATATAGCCAGGTAATTCTCATAATAGCAAAGTAAGGAAACCAGGCACAAAAGAAACAATTCAAATGATCAAAATGGGATAATGGTTAGTTTGTGAAAGATAACTAGAACGATGAAAAGCTTGGGGTGGGAGGAAAGGAAATGGTAAATGGAAAATGTAGAATGCTTTTAAAGGTCAAGGAAAAGTGTCAGTATGACAAAAATGAAAGAAATGATATTCAGAGAGATAGGAATATTCACCATCTAAAATTTTCTATTAAGGAAGACTTCTAAATTAACCATACAGGTAGGTGCTAAAAAAACAGTAAAAATGATATTTATGCAATTAACAATTAACAGCCCAAACATAGGAATGTCATGGAAATGGAAGTAAAAGATGTTTTAGTGGTAGATAGCAATATCAACACAAGTTAGCAATGTGGGGATACAGGGTTCAGTTTGAAAAACGGGGGACAGGAGAGGACAGTGCAGCATTATGGTTTAATGAATTAGGCTACCACTTGTGGTACCAGCATCCCATGTTGGGGTGTCGGTGTGAGTCTCAGCAGCTCTGCTTCTTCTGATTCAGCTCCCTGCTGATGCACCTGGAAGGCAGGAGATGAAGGCCTCAGGTGCTTAGACCCTTTCCATCTTTGTAGGAGATCTGGATGGGTTTTCTGATTCCTGGCTTTGAATTGGCCCAGCCTAGGCTTCTGAGACTGTTTTGGGGATAACCAGTGGCTAGAAAATCTCTTTGTCTCTGTCTGTCTCTCTTTCTCTGTCACTCTGTCTTAAATAAAAGGAAAAAAATAAAGCTGGAATTCCTTGCACAGCAAAAAAGGCTGCCTGCTCCCAGGCAATTACTGCTCCATCCATCCTTCTATTCTCCGTAAATATGAATACCTAGATACAATTACACTTGAAAGAACTATGCAGTTGGAGAATTATACATACAGAATAAAAATAAATCTGGGAGCCAGGATTGTGGCGTTATCAGATAAAGCCATTGCCTGTGACACCGGCATCCCAAATGGGTGCCAGTTTGAGTCTTAGCTGCTCCTTTTTTGATCCAGCTCCTTACTAACATGCCTGGGAAAGCTGCAGAGGATGGCCCAAGTGCTTGGGCCCCTGCACCCATGTGGAAGGACCTGGAAGAAGCTCCTGGCTCTGATTTGGTCTAGCCCTAGTCATTGTGGCCATCTGGGGAATGAACCAACAGATAGAAAGTCCCTCCCTCTCTCTTTCTTTAACTCTTTCAAATAAATAAATCTTAAAACAAAAACACAAACAAAGAAAACTGAGAAAACTGCAAGTTACTCTGAGTCAATAAAATTTGCCACTGCCTCCTCTATGTAAAAATAATCTTTTAGATATGAAAACTGGTGCTTCCTTTAACCCTGTGATATCTCATACTTTTGGCAAGGTTGGAATACATACAATAGAGAGCCTTTAGTCAGATGCTCTATAAGGGAGGCTAATTCTGAAGGTATACATCATAAGCTCTAGAGTGCAAGGAAAGGAGGTACAAAGACAGTAACTCTGTAGATAAAGAGCACTGGAAAGAGGACTCTTGAACAATGATTTACACTTTTCTAAAGAAGAAAAGTAACTATAGGAAAGGAGAATAAGTAAATGGGCCTGATATAGCCTGCCAGGAAAGGAGAGTAAAAAAGATGGAAAAAGCGTTGGAGGGATGGCAGTCATGGTATGGGAGAAGAGTTTTACTTGAATTCACAAGTTCATACTATGCGAGGAAAAAAAGCAAACATAAAAAGGCCTGTCTAGCTATCCAATGGCACATAAGATTCACTATGTATAATTCCCTCACAAAGTAAAGTGACAATGACATTGAAATTAAGGTTAAAATCATTCTAAAATCTTCCAAGGAATGAAGAAACCACTCTGCTGTAACTGCTAGATGGAATCTCTACCATTTCTGGAGATGCATAATTACAAAGTTAGGATAATTCATTTTTTGAGTTGATTTCAAGCATTTCAAAAATATTAAAAGAATCCTAAGTGTAAAAATAAAATTAGCATAATCCAATTGCATTTTTTTTCCTGTAGTTATTTCGTTGGGAAGAGGGTGGTCATTAGTATATAGGTAGCTATAGGTTCTCCTCAATTTAAGGATCAATGCACTACGCATTGTTAGAATAAAATTTTGAAAATCCTTAATACAATGACCAACATAAATGAAAAAAAGACTAATTATATGGTCAATTGTCAATTAAGTTTGAATTTTGTGAATACTAAACTCCATTTTTTAAGTAGAAATACTTACCAGTCTACACGTAAGACCAATAACTGATACTGGAGTCTGTGCAGTCTGAGAAATATCAAAAAGATTATAAAGGAGTGTTTGATTTTTATGATGAGCAAAAAGATCAAATTCATCTAATATGAAGATCACAGGGCAACTGTTAGTACGGTCACCTAAGATGAAAGAAAAGCTTCATATTAATGAGCTATTATGTAAATATTTTTCAAATTTCCAAAGTATCTACTACATTTCAGTAAGCCTCAATTCAAAAAGCATACAGTTATAACTTACTTTAGGTAGGGTACTTACCAGTGCATGTACACTCATTAAACAGAAAAAATTATTCCCTCAGGTAATTTATAGTCTAGTTACTAGAATCCAGTTTGTGGATAAAAAACTTTAAAATAATTTAAATGACTAATTATGCAAATGTAATTCTTTAATAATTATAAAATTGGCAAAGGTTTTTCAATACCTATATAGAACCAAAACACACTGGGATTGAAATATAGTCACTAACTAATGAATAAAATTGCTTTAAAAGAGAACTGTTTCACTAGTAGAAATGCAAAATATTTTACTATAGAAATAATAAACAATGTTGAGACTACTGAAGTTCAAGTTAAATTTTAATTTCTTTTAACCACAATTTTAAATTTGGTATTTATTTATTTAATTTCTATAAAAGGGAGAGAGGCAGAGAAAGTGGTATCTCCTATCTGTTTGTTCACTCCCCAAATATCCACTGACACTGAGGCTGGGCCAAGCTGAAGCAGGAGCTAGGAGCTACAGCCAGGCTTCCCATGTGAGCGGGAAGGACTAACTACTTGAGCCATCACTGCTGCTTCCCAAAGGTACACATTACCAGGAAGCTGGAATCACCTTTTAAGGAAGAGTTTAGAAATATGGTTTCTCTTAAGTATAAAGCTTTTATTCCAGAATTCTACTCATTAAAGTTCACGCCAGGAAGTATCTGCATGATCATCTAAGCATTTCCTAACTATTAAAAAGACAGAAACAAAAGTCAGTAACTTAAAAAATTATGGTGGGGCTGGCACTGTGGCATAGCAGGTAAAGCCACCACCAGCAGTGCTGGCATCCCATGTGGAAGCTGGTTCAGGTTCACTTCCAATCCAGCTCCCCGCTAATGTGCCTGAGAAAGCACAGAACATGGCCCAAGAACTGGGCCCTGCACCCACATGGGAGACCTGGAAGAAGCCCCTGGCTCCTGACATTAGCATGGCCCAGCCATGGCCATTATGGCCATTTGGGGAGTGAATCAGTGGATAAAAATCTCTCTTCTCTCTCTGTAACTCTTTGAAATATATAAATAAATCTTAAAAAACTCATCACATATTTATAAAATGGAATGTATAAGAAATCATAAAATGATGCACAGCAAAATTTACTGATTACAAAACAAGAAAAATGATTTCATTCTTGTAAAAAACTCTCTCTCTCTCTCATTTGTATCAGTGGTGTAGGATGTAGGTGAATAAAAATAAAAAGCCAAATGTTAACTGAGATAATCACCATTATAGTAGTGGAATAACAGTAATCATTATTTTACTTTTTTATATTTGTGTATTTTATGAGTTTTTTCCTAAATGTATGTATTACCTTTATTCAGGAGAAAAGTAAAATTAAAAACAAATATATTTTGACAGCACAAAACAAGTTAATATTTACCTTTTTTTAAAGCTTCCAGAAGAAATGAAAGGTTTTCAGCAAAGCTTCCCTGGGTAACAAAATAAGATACCATGACATGAAGTCCAGTGAAATAAAGAATAAAAATGGGCTATCTGACTCTCAAACTTTATGTAGACACTATATGTAAACTTTTTCCTAGTAAACCAGCGTTAGTGGTCAGTTTTCAACTGTCTGAGAATGTGTATTATGATCTAAAACTCAAACATAAAGGTAGAGATGATACTACACCAAAACCAGCAATACTGTGTCATATTTATAATTTTACATAGATATAACCAGAATACTTTAGAATACAACCTTAATATTATAGATGATTTTTAACAAGTTATTAGATATAATTATCCAGATACTGCAGATTGAGGGCAGAGTAAGAACTTCCACATATTGTGATGACTGCATGCTGTAATGCTGACACCATTTCTAAGGCAGGGCAAAAGCTATTGCCCATAATTTACTATAACATAATAAATATAACATACCATAATAATAACCATAATTGGCATATAACCTTTCAACCTGTTGGGAAATTAGTGTTCAAAGTTACTAAAAGGTTGAGCTGTGTTTTAAAAAATGCTGAGTATATACTTACATATAAATATATGAAGGAACTTTCCATAAAATTCATGGAAAAACAGAATTAAAAGACAAGTTTGTTTTGGTGAAAAAAACTGAAGTCCATACATTTTTTTTTTTTTTTACAAAATGTATCTTCTGTGAACTTTTTGAATATCCCTTACATAAAATGGCATAGTATTGGAATATAACCTACAGAAATTCTCTGTTATACTATTTATCATCTCCAGATTACTTGTATTATCTAGTACAATGTAAGTCCTATAGAGTTGCACTATATATACTGTACTGTTTAGGTAATAATGACAAAGAAAAATAACTGTACATGTTCAGCCCAATTGCAATTTCCTTCCTACATATTTTTAACCTATAGTAAGTTGAATTTGCAGATCCAGAACCATAGCGATGAAGGACCAATTACACGTGATGAAGAATGACAACAGAATTAGGATAGGATGATAAATTTTGTCTTTTATTTCATATAAGTTCAATATGAATATTTTCAGTTAGGAATGTTAGAAAAGGCTATCGAGAGCACATGGAAACCAAAAGCCAAACTGAACTCATTCAATGGGAACTCTTATTTGATTACACAGGGCACTAACTTCAACACTGCTTTGTAAATAAGAGGTAGAATATTAAAATTTATAGAAGGGACATTTTGAACTTGTACTTTAAAGATCTACAAACTATGGAATGAGAACATATGGTTCACTCCAATTTTTATGCACATTAAAAAATTAGAATCCTAAATGCTAGGAATCTTACACACTACGGCTGCAGCACTGCAAAGGGAGCATAAGGTTGCAAAGTTATAATGGCAGCACTACATAATTACCAGTGACCAGAAAATGAACTTGGAATATATGTAACCTACTTCAATTGTGTAACTAGTATGAGGACAGGTAATTTCATTGTGAAAATCAGGGCAGGTACATTAATCATGCTTTTTTAGATCTCATAAATTAGGCAATAGGTAAAAAGTTTAGTGAAAGTTATAAAACATTTAAACCAGTTTCTTTACTGATGTTCACTTTCCTGAGAATTCAAGATGTTACAGTAAGAAGGGATAAATTTATGAAAACATGATAGTAAGAGAGAACAGATTTATAGCACATCACTACTCAAAGTACTTTTTAAAAAAAAAAAAAACTTAAATGTTTATTGTTTCCTGTATTCTTTATAATAGTTCTGTGAAGTACATATAAAATAATGCCCACTTAAAACATGAAGAATCTTAAATTAGGAGACATTCATTAATCCAGGATCACTAAGAAGTCAACTGGTAGTAAGACAAAAAAATCTAAAATCACTTATTGTAGCTTCAAATTCAGCACATTTTCCACTATGCTCTGCTACCCAAATGTGCTAGAGCATAGAATGGAGAATCAGAGTATTTAGTTTATACATAAATAGGCAAACTTAAAGAGTATCTGATCTAAACCTTGACTTTTCAGGTATTTTATGGCTAGTATAATCTTACTCCAAAAATACCCAAATGCAAGATTTAGTGACTGTATCCTAATACATTATATATTATTATGAAAATTTGGCAAATTTTGATTTATAATCCTAGAACTCCTAACCTAAATGTCCAGAAATATAACACATATGTTATAGCGACTTTAATTTGAAGTTTAATAAAATAACTGCAGATACTTACAAAAACTTTATCTCCAACTGCATTTTCCAGATTTAACTGCCTTGTGATTTCCTTTAGAGCAATTTTATCATTGATCTGCAAGAGTCCTAAAATAAAGTCCATTTAAAAGTATTTAATTTAAATGAAATATGCGTTTGACACAGATCGCTTTATAGTCAAGCCTATTTTCCACTATTTTTAAAATTTAAGTGGAGGGGCCAGCACTGTGGTGCAGCAGGTTAACAACCTGGCCTGAAGCGCTGGCATCCCACATGGGCGTCAGTTCGAGACCCGGCTGCTCCACTTCCTATCCAGCTCTCTGCTATGGCCTGGGAAAGCAGTGGAGGATGGCCCAAGTCCTTGGGCCCCTGCACCCTCACGGGAGACCCGGAACAAGCTCCTGGCTCCTGGCTTCGGATCGCCGCAGCTCCAGCCATTGCGGCCAACTGGGGAGTGAACCATAGGATGGAAGACCTCTCTCTCTCTCTGCCTCTTCTCTCTCTGTGTAACTCTGACTTTCAAATAAATAAATTAATTAAAAAAAATTAAGTGGAAAGAAGAGTCAAACCCATTCACAGTACTTTCTTTTTAAAACTTAACAATAATGACATTATCTCATAGAGACAAAAAACAATCTTTCTTGGAGTTAGTATTATTTTCCAAAAGGAAAACTAAGACAAAACTAGAATTCTTATGTGCCTCTTTTATTGTTAGTTTGTAATTTATTTGAGGTAGAAAGAGATGAAAAGAATGAGACACACAGACAAAGCAGTGCACTGCCATCCACTGGTTCAGTTCATGAACTCAGCAAAGGCTGAGGATGAGAAGGACAGAAGCCAGGAACCTGGAACTTAAACCAGTTTTCCCAAGTAGGTGGCAGGAATCCAGCTACCTGAGCCACCACCTCTTCCTAACAGGAAGCTAGAATCAGAAGCTGGAGTCTGGAGTCGAATTCACATACTCTAATATGAGATGTGGATGTTTTAAGCAGTGTCTTAACCACTAGACCAGATGTCTAGCACTATTATGATTTTAATTTCTAAAATTATTGTTTGTTTTGTTTGTTTGTTTTGCATGCCATCCTTCAAATCAGTTTTATTCTCTGAAGGGACAGGGCACCAAAGATAAGTTTTTTACAAATGGCCAATAGCCTACAGTGGAGACCAAATGCCCATCCCTATCCTATCATTTGTAACATTGTAAATTGCATTACTCTTGTCATTTATCCACTATTAATATATTTTTTTTGACAGGCAGAGTGGACAGTGAGAGAGAGAGACAGAGAGAAAGGTCTTCCTTTGCCTTTGGTGCACCCTCCAATGGCCGCTGCGGCCTGCAGGCTGCGGCCGGCGCACCGCGCTGATCCGAAGGCAGGAGCCAGGTACTTCTCCTGGTCTCCCATGGGGTGCAGGGCCCAAGCACTTGGGTCATCCTCCACTGCACTCCCTGGCCACAGCAGAGAGCTGGCCTGGAAGAGGGGCAACCGGGACAGAATCCGGTGCCCCGACCGGGACTAGAACCCAGTGTACCGGCACTGCAAGGCAGAGGATTAGCCTACTGAGCTGTGGCGCCGGCTATCCACTATTAATATTTGTTGAGACTGTTCAGTGTTACGGTTACAAGGATGGAAGATCTGCCTTTCACACTCGGATAAAGGATATGAACAAACAGAAGCAACTTCAGTGTGGTAACAATGACAGTTCAGGACCCTACAGATTCACAGTGAGAAATGAGGATATCCAGGGCTTTATTTTGTAATGCAGAGGCCACACAGTGGCCCCAACCCCACTTCCCATCCTGCACCTCTTAAATGTTTATCACTCTAGGAGACCCAGCAATCCCCTTCATGATCTTTTGAAGATCACTGAACTGGAAAATTATACCCCTATTTCTCTTAAACAGATCAATAGCATTACTTACAGAATTCATTTTACATAGATAGCAAAAGTTATAGTAAAATTTACTAAAATTTAATTTCTAAAATTATTGTTTACCATATGCTAAAGGTTGCTAACATGGATCTAAGTTTTAAAATCTAATTATTGGCCGGCGCTGCGGCTCACTTGGCTAATCCTCCGCCTGCAGCAACAGCACCCTGAGTTCTAGTCCCAGTTGGGGTGCCGGGTTCTGTCCTGGTTGCTACTCTTCCAGTCCAGCTCTCTGTTGTGGCCTGGGAGTGCAGTGGAGGATGGCCCAAGTGCTTGGGCCCTGCACCCACATGGGATACCAGGAGGAAGTACCTGGCTCCTGGCTTCGGATAGACGCAGCGCACCTGCTGAGGCGGCCATTTTGAGGCGGAGAACCAACAGAAAGGAAGACCTTTCTCTCTGTCTCTCTCTCACTAACTCTGCTGGAAAAAAAAATCTAATTATCACTACAGAAGTAAAACATACAAGTGGGTTTAGATTAACAATGTAAGAACCCCATGTGGTTAATATCATTTCCAATGGAAAATGATAATATACTTACCATTTAGGTGAACTTGTAATATATTTTCACTTGCTTCTCCTATTTCCATGAGTTCTTTCAAAGCATGATTTATTAACTAAATAAATATGAAAAGTTTATTGAATATTTAATAATACATAAAAGATGAAAATAAAAATTTTTTAAACTATAAATGAGAACAGACCATAAACAAATTGTTTCTTTTAATTAACAAATAAGATCTAATTTTTCACATTTTTTATATCTTTTTCTTCTTAAGATATCAGAGCCAGGACTGTTAATCACATTCACCAAACCATCTATCTAAACTTCTAATAAGCCTACAAATATGCCTCAGGTTTTAAGATATATTTCTTTTTATTTTAACATTTATTTTACTTATTCAAAGACAGAGTTAGAGGGGGGGACAGGGAAGGAAGGAGACAGGGATATAGGAAGAGAGGGGGAGAGGGAGAGGAAGAGATACAGAGAGAGAAACAGAGGGGGAGAGAGAGAGAGGGATTTTTCATCTGTTGACTACTCTCCAAATGACTGCAATGGCCAGGACTCGGCCACGTCAAAGCCAAGAGCTTCATCCAGGTCTCCCATGTGGGAGCAGGGACCCAAGCACTTGCACCTTCCTCAGCTGCTTTTCCAGTCCCATCAGCAGGGAGCTAGGCTGGAAATGTAGCAGCTGGGATTCAAATTGATGCCAGTGCTGCAGGTGGTAGCCTAACTGTTACACCACAACACTGGCCCCTGAGATATATTCCTTTGCACAGCACTCTAAACTATAGTCCCTCATGAATTTGATGACTTAGTATATTATTTATCTCATTAACATCTGCTCTATCAAACATCATTAAAATCAGTTAAAAGTTATTTAATAATGTATATCAGAACAACACTAAATGATTATAAAGTCTACTCCCCATTATAATAATGCTATGAAGTCTACTCCCTATAATAATGACTACTAAAACAGTTATACTCAGAGCACAGTATCACTTTAAACTGTTTACAGACTCACATTGTCATAATTAAACGTATTTCTATGCCACTTGACATTCTTTGATTTGTGACACTGTCATTCTTGTGTTACAATATCATATATCTCTTCATAACATTATTGCATAAATTTTTAAAAAATTGAAAACAGAATTAAGAAAAGCTGAAATCTTTTTTTAAAGGAAAAGTCATTATAAAGTACTATTTCCAATATTAGAACAGGAAGGAACTATCAAAAAATAAATGGTCGTGCAAAGAGACTATAAACTAAAAAAATAAAAAAAAATTAGATGGGATCATTAAAATTTAATGAAAACAGAAGGGTCATTCAGCAAAGTGTGACAATGAGTGAACTTTCATAAACAAAATTCACAATATGCTACTTTTATTTGTTACTGTACCGTATCTGTGCACAAGGAAAAAAACCAGTATCAACATTATCTTAGATTTCACAAGAGAATATTAAACATGCCAGCTCTGTCTGGTTTATTCACATACCAGGGAATTCTACCTGGATCACAGGTACATTAGGTCCTTAGGAAACATAGAAATCTCAGGATATAAACTGTCATTCCACTAGTAAGACACTGGACTACTAGTACAACTAAGAAGTGACATTGAAGAATTGCCTGAAACAAAAGTGGTACTTCTCTGCCTTTGGATCAGGTCAGTCTCTATCACAAGAGTATTCCCATATCCCTAACACGATACAAACTTGGTTCCACAAAATATTCTTTTGAGCATGTTTTTCATAGTAATCCACAGTGATTCTTTCCTCATCTCTTTTACTTACATGAGGGTTTTTTAAAAAACACAGGAAATAAGTGTTATCAAACACCTGCAAGGATTTCAAAAATTTTTTGCACTCTTTTATCTTTCAATTCCATTTTCCACAAACTTTTTGAAAAACACTTGTAATTATATTTTCTTTGGCTCTGATTTTAATTCATATATCAATTTATGTTTTGATGAATTACTGAAGAACATTCTAAATTCTTTGCATAATGAACCAAGAATACATTAATAATAACCCCATCTTTTATATATATATATATATATATATGTATAGCGAGAACATGTATACGCAGACTTAGATAGGATTATAGCATTCTCTACACGTACCTTATTCTTTTTTTTTTTTAAAGATTTTATTTATTTATTTGACAGGTAGAGTTATAGACACTGAGAGGGAGAATCAGAGAGAAAGGTCTTCCTTCCATCGGTTTACCCCCCAAATGGCCACTAGGGCCAGCGCTGCGCCGATCTGAAGCCAGGAGCCAGGTGCTTCTTCCTGGTCTCCCATGTGGCAGCAGGGGCCCAAGCACTTGGGCCATCCTCCACTGCCTTCCCGGGTCACAGCAGAGCACTGGACTGGAAGAGGAGCAGCCAGGACTACAACTGGCACCCATATGGGATCCCGGGGCTGCAGGCAGAGGATTAACCTAACACGCCAACGGCACCGGCCCCATCCACGTACCTTATTCTAAACACCAGCTTACTATGCTCTGCTTGAATCTGCTCACTAATGTTTTACGGAGGGTGTGTATGGCTTGAAATGATAAATTAATTGTGCATCTTCAAATAATTATTTTACTTCTATCTGGATATTGCTAAAATTTGTGGCATAATTAGCTAGGTAATCAACCATACCATTTAAGTCATTTTTTCTACGATCTGTCATCTTTTCAAAAATTTAAACTACATTTTACGTTAAAAGTTTTTTTCTAGTTATTAATAGTACACTGACCAAAATAAAAAATTTGGTTTATCTTATGTAGCTAAAAATTAATTTTATAAACATACCAGGACAACTCTCTTAAATTTGTCAGCATCCAGGGATTTTACAGGATCACCAAAAAGTACTGCAATAAACGGAAGATTCACCAATATGCAACTGGAAGAAATAACCTGTTCAACCATCGAGGAAGTTTGTCTACAATCAAAGTCTATGTAGAAGAGTACATTCAGTTTGATGCAACCCCAAATGTTAATTTTAGCTTTGACTGCCTGTGCTTCCGGGGTCTTTTCCAAAAAGTCTTGGCCTGTGCCTATATCTTGCAGGATTTCTCCAATGTCTCTAATAATTTGATGGTGTCAGGACGTAGATTTAAGTCTTTAATCCATGTTGAGTGGATTGTTGTGTAAGGTGAAAGGTAGGGGTCTTGCTTCATGCTTCTGCACGTGGAAATCCAATTTTCCCAGCACCATTTATTGAATAGACTGCCCTTACTCCAGGGATTGGTTTTGGATCCTTGATCAAATATAAGTTGGCTATATATGTTTGGATTGATTTCTGGTGTTTCTATTCTGTTCCATTGGTCTATCCATCTGTTTCTGTACCAGTACCATGCTGTTTTGATAACAACTGCCCTGTAGTATGTCCTGAAATCTGGAATTGTGATGCCTCCAGCTTTGTTTTTGTTGTACAAGATTGCTTTAGCTATTGGAGGTCTCCTGTGACTCCATATGAATTTCAGCATCATTTTTTCCAGATCTGAGAAGAATGTCTCTGGTATTTTGATTGGTATCGCATTGAAATTATAAATTGCTTTTGGGAGAATGGACATTTTGATGATATTGATTCTTCCAATCCATGAGCATGGAATATTTTTCCATTTTTTGGTATGCTCTTCCATTTCTTTCTTTAAGATTTTGTAATTCTCATCGTAGAGATCTTTAACATCCTTGGTTAAGTTTATTCCAAGGTATTTGCTTGTTTGTGTGGCTATTGTGATTATTGTGGCTAATGTTAATGGCTATTAACATTTGGGACTGCAACAAAGAGAAGTTTCTGTACTGCAAAAGAAACAGTCAGGAAAGTGAAGAGACAACTGACAGAATGGGAAAAAATATTTGCAAACTACCCAACAGATAAAGGGTTAATAACCAGAATCTACAAAGAGATCAAGAAACTCCACTACATCAAAACAAACAACCCACTTAAGAGATGGGCCAAGGACCTCAATAGACATGTTTCAAAATAGGAAATCCAAATGGCCAACAGACACATGAAAAAATGTTCAGGATCACTAGCCATCAGGGAAATGCAAATCAAAACCACAATGAGGTTTCTCCTCACCCCAGTTAGAATGGCTCACATACAGAAATCTACCAACAACAGATGCTGGCGAGGATGTGGGGAAAAGGGGACACTAACCTACTGTTGGTGGGAATGCAAACTGGTAAAGCCACTATGGAAGTCAGTCTGGAGATTCCTAGCATACAACCCAGCCACCCCACTCCTTGGATTTTACCCAAAAGAAATTAAATTGGCAAACAAGAAAGCTGTCTGCACCTTAATGTTTATTGCAGCTCAATTCACAATAGCTAAGACCTGGAATCTACCTAAATGCCCATCAACAGATGACTGGATAAAGAAATTATGGGACATATACTCTATAGAATACCATACAGCAGTAAAAAAACAATGAAATCCGGTCATTTGCAACAAAACGGAGGAATCTGGAAAACATTATGCTGAGTGAATTAAGCAATATCATATGTTCTCCCTGATTGGTGACAACTAACTGAGCACTTAAAAGGAAACCTTGTGACGTGAAATGGACACTATGAGAAACAGTGACTTGATTAGCCCTTGTCCCAATTGTTGATGTACAATTTAATACTTTATCCCTTTTAGTATTTTTTTTGTTTTACTTAATACTTTTGGTTGAAGTCTGTAATTAACACACAATTATTCTTAGGTATTTAAATTTAACTGAAAAGTGATCCCTGTTAAATGTAAGAGTGGGAATAAGAGAGGGAGGAGATGTACAATTTGGGACATGCTCAATTGGACTTGCCCCAAATGGTGGAGTTAGAAATGTGCCAGGGGATTCCAATACAATCCCATCAAGGTGGCATGTACCAATGCCATCTCACTAGTCCAAGTGATCAATTTCAGTTCACAACTGATCACACTGATAGGTCTAAGGGTCAAAGGGATCACATAAACAAGACTAGTGTCTGCTAATACTGATAGAATAAAAAAAGGGAGAAGGATCCAACATGGGAAGTGGGATACACAGCAGACTCAGAGAATGGCAGATGTCCTAAACAACACTCTGGCCTCAGAATCAGCCCTTAAGGCACTCAGATCTGGCTGAAGAG